GATAGAGTGGATGCTTTACGTCGGGTTATGCTTGCACGACGGAGTTCACGCATCAGACAGCGTGCACGTGCTATTAAGTCTCCGTACACCCCAATAGTGCGAAGACACCGCAAGAAGAAGCCCGACTCGCCTGTCATCCCTCAAGAGTCCACTCCTATCGTTGAAGAGGCCCCCCATATCATTCCTCGAGAGTCCCCTCCCACCGTTCAAGAGGCCACTGTCATCATTGAAGAGGTCCCTCCCACCATTCAAGAGCCCGATTCACATGGCGTCATATGTAGGCTTCTTGAGAAACCCTCTGACGTGCCGGACATGATGGATTCAAGTTGGCTCTCGTATGAGTTACCGGCCAGTACCATACCGGTATCTGAAGAGGAGAGGGAACAACTACCGGACACAATTTTGGATAACACCCTTTGGGCTAAGACCGCAGTTGATTTTTATCTACATGAGCGGAGCAAGGGGTGTTTCACTGACATATGCAAGCTCACCGATGATATCTTTTTGTTGCTTGAACGGCCTTGGTGGGGCGTATTATTAGGGGTCGAAGACAATGGCTATTTCGATGGGGGGTAAGTCTTATATTTTTCTTATATTTCAATTTGATTAATTTTTTTTTTAAATTTATGTAAGTCACTAATATATGTCTTTTTTTGTAAAACAGCATATCGATGCGTGGGTGACACGTCTTCTAATAATAAGAAAACTTAAGAAAAATAAAAATATACGATATACAATAATGCCGACGTCTTTTCACGCCGTTCACTTGAAGAATGCACGAGATGAATCATTTGATTTGGGCAATGGACAAGCTAAACTTTATCCTGCATGGTGGGAGGTCGATAAGGTTAGTATTTATTTTAGATTGAGTTTAAAGGTTTTATGAAATAAGTGCGCAAATGAATGAATTATTACTTATGATTGCAGGTGTTTATCCCTGTTTTGGAACGTAAACATTGGATTCTCGTCGAGCTTCAGCTCCCATCCCTTAAGACAATAGTGTATGACAGCATGATAAATTACATATCATTGGCTGATTTAAGAGATGTTATTAAGGGATGGAGCTCTCATTTGGCTAAATTCTTGGATGCGATCAATTATTGGACTCGTTCTGGAAACAAGAAGCCAAAGAAGCTCAATATTACAGTTATTAGAGACGAGACCGCGCCACAACAAACGAGCGGAGCCAGAGGAGATTGTGGTCCTCTCGTATGCTTGGCGTTGGAGCGTTTGACGACGGGAAGCATCAAGTATCTACCTCCCACCGATAGAGATAAAGCTGCAGTAGGCTTGTGGTTTCGGCATTATATGGCTAAATCGATATATACGAGACGCTGCCTACCTGCTTCCGCGTTATAAAAATGTCCATAAACAATTGGTAAGTTTATATACTTTTGGTTTGAAAATGTTTGGTTAAGTAACTAGAATTCAATAATTTGCTGTTTGTAGGTTTTAGATGTGTAGAAAGTGTTGTTTGAACAAATGTTTGGTTTCTGCAGGTTAATCTCAGAAGTGAACTGCGTGAAAATGATGTCGAGCTGCAAAAGTTGATTCAATAGTTTAATTGATTGTTTTTTGATTGTTTAATTGATTTGTAAAAGTTGATTCAATAGTAGATGATCGGAAATAAGAATTATTGCTTATTTTTTGATTGTTTAATTGATTTGTAAAAGATGATTTGTAAAAGTTGATTTGTGTAATTGATGCGAACATAATTCTTATTTGTGCTTGTTTAATTGATTGAAATGTAATGGTTGATTTTGTTGATTTCAATCTGCATTATGTTGAAGGCAAAATGACTATCGCAATGCGAAATGAAAATCGCAATGCGAAATGAAAATCGCAACGAGAGAATCGCAATGCGAAATGAAAATCGCAATGCGGAAATGAAAATCGCAATGCGTTTATAATTTCGCATTGCGATTATCTCGTTGCGATTTTCATTTCGCATTGCGATTTTCATTTCGCATTGCGATTCTTTCGTTGCGATTTTCATTTCGCATTGCGATTCTTTCGTTGCGATTTTCATTTCGCATTGCGATTTTAATTTCGCATTGCGATTCTGTCGTTGCGATTTTCATTTCGCATTGCGATTTTCATTTCGCATTGCGATTCTCTCGTTGCGATTTTCATTTCGCATTGCGATTTTCATTTCGCATTGCGATTCTCTCGTTGCGATTTTCATTTCCGCATTGCGATTTTCATGTTGGGATTTTCATTTCGCGTTGCGATTGTATTTTCCGTGTTGCGATAGTCAAATGCATGCCTAATAGTGATAACAACTGAATAACAAGAGTTGGTTAAGTCAAATGGTTGGCCTGAGTCATTAATTCAACTGAAAATGTTAAAAGTTCACACATAAAATCCACATAATACAACGTTTGCATTTAAAAATCACCTAAGTTAACAGTCTCAAAAGGTGAAGCCAATCGTGATTGGGATTTTAAAGATGATTGCCTTTTGCTTGACACCATATGAGCTTTGGATTTTGATGAGGATCCATATTTTGGTAGAGGAAAAGATGATTTTGATGGCACTGGTGATCCACATGTCAACCTTGTATGACCACTTTCCTTGCACCGACTACATGTCGATCTCTTCTTCTCTTCACCCTTAGACGGTATACGATCGTGACTTTTTGGTCGGCCAGGTAGCCTTCTGTCCATGGCTGGTGGCAAAACTGTTTGTAAGTCATCTGGTATGTCCCACTCAGAAGGATGTGGAATAGGGTAGACAATCTCGGCATAAGTCTGTCGATAAACTTCTGTAGTGTAGCAATCCATAGCGTATGCGCTTGAATCATCTTGGTTTAAATGAAGAGCAACTTTTATAACATGGCCACACGGATAACCAGATGTTTGCCATTTCATACAACTACACGTCTTTGCATTTAGATCGACTAGCCCATTTAAGTTATTATCCAGTACTTGAAACAAAGTGTTTGAACATGGTTCAACTCTCCATGACGTTGACTTCACAACACGTTTCGTTATCTTTTTTTCAGTCCATGGTGTAACACGATGTTCCAATGTTCCTGTAAATTTAAATAAACAATACTTAGTAAAATATATAAATATGATAAGTTACGAATTCAAAGAAATAATACCTGCATGGTTTCTTTTCTTGTAGTACCACTGTTGAATAGAGGCTCGAAAAAACTCCATTAACATAGTAATGGGTAATTTCCGGGAATGACGACTTAGAGCGTTGATTGATTCTGCACTATTAGACGTCATGAAACCATATCTTGCTCCAAGTTGATTGATTCAGTGTTGTGATTTACAGATTCTCGTTGCGATTTACGGATTATCGTTGCGATTTACAGATTCTCGTTGCGATTTACGGATTATCGTTGCGATTTACGGATACGCGTTGCGATTTACGGATTATCGTTGCGATTTACGGATACGCGTTGCGATTTACGGATACGCATTGCGATTTACGGATACGCGTTGCGATTTACGGATACACGTTGCGGTTTACGGATACGCGTTGCGATTTACGGATACGCGTTGCGATATACGGATACGCATTGCGATTTACCCATACGCGTTGCGATTTACGGATACACGTTGCGATTTACGGATACGCGTTGCGATTTATGTGTTCGCGTTGCGATTTTCATATTCGCGTTGCGATTATGGAAAATCGCAATGCGAATTTGTACTATCGCATCGCGATTTTCAAGAATCGCGTTGCGATTTTGGAAACTGATTTGCGATTCTGGGGATCGCGTTGCGATTTTTATTTCGCGTTGCGAATTTGTTGGTCATTTTGGCAAATCCAAAAAAAGTTGGTTAAAATCGTATATTATAACTTTTTTTTGGTCACTGAGGCGATTTTCTCTTACTAATATTCCTCCTAAGACTTTTTTTTTTGTACAATACACAAATGATCCCCAGTTATAGTATACTATTTTATTAGATCTACGAATATTAAAAGTTATAAAATAGTTCTTAATTATAAGGAGATACTTTTTTGAGTACTTTAGTTATTAAAATTTACAAAATGGTCACATTACTATTCATTATATTTCAAACTCGTTCTTTTTCGTTAAAAAATTAACAATCGACTGACTTGGATGTTAACCTGCTAAATGAAATATGATCAAATATGATGTCATAAACTCAAGCAACTACCATATTTCAGTCATAAATGTTAATGTTCAACTCAGACGATCGTAAACTTTTTAACAAAAAAATGACGAGTTTAGAACATAATGAATAGTCGTGTGACTATTTTGTAACTTCTAATAGTTGAATGACTCAACAAAGCAACTCCCTATAATCGATAGATCATTTTATAACTTTTAATAGTTATGGGACTCAACAAAGCAATGACCTATAATTGGAAGACCATTTGTGTACTTTACTCTTTTTTTCCAAACAAATTAGGTTGAACTAGGAACTATGTTTGGTCCAAGTTAACACAACAATGTTGTTGCCAAGACCATTTCTAACAATTAAATTCTCATTGCATCATATAGTGCAAATACTTAATACATTCCTACTAAAATTATTCATAAAAAATATTTCAATCTTCTTAGTAATACTCATTACATTCAATTGATCATCTAATAGTATCAGACAAACATAAAGTTTATAAAGGGGCTATATGAATAATATCTTTAAAATAAAATTAAAATATCGATACTCTTCCTATAGTATTAACACCTTAACAAGGTATTAAAACCAAAAATTAGCTTGACATCATACCTTTTAGTTCCATGTAGCATTTTTATAATATCAACAATTTATTTAATGTAATTTGGCATAAAGATTTAAGTTGAGAGTAACTTACAGCTTTGAAAGCATAAGAAAGCTACTCAACATTACAAATACACGCCAAACAAACTTAATCATTTCTATACCTACAGCGTATGGTCGCCACTGTATACATCGCATGCCATATCCTGCATGCTCTTCTTACTACTTTGCAAACAAACCCTACAAACGAAAGAATTATACCAACAAGCAAACTACAATTCCATGAAATTTTTCTTCAAGGTTCATCATCATCCGGACCCTCCTCTCCTTCCTACAACATGTTCATCAGCATCGATATCTGTTCTTGAAGCATTGCGTTTTCTCTCTCCACCTCCGACCTTTTACTTTTCTCTTGTAGAAGCTGAAGTTGCATGTGTTCTAAGCACCGAGCATCTTCTTCCAACTGCTCGTTCAACCCATCAATTTCCCTGTCCTGCAAATTTCAACTATTTCCAGTTATTTCCTATCGTCTGTGGTAATAATCCTGCACACCTTTCCTACGATATCAGTTACAGACTGCCAGACTCTATAAATCAAGGTGCTATACGGACTCTTCCTCTTTTTGAAATACTCGAATCTAAGAAGAGAAATGTTGTTCTCCTTAAATGACTCAAATTTGAACAGTTGTGTCTACGGTGTGTGTTTTCATAGACTAAGAATTTTTTTGAACAGATACTACAAATTTTAACCATTTCTAGATATTTCCTATCATTTCTAGTTATTTCCTATCGTTTCTAGTAATAATCCTGCATACCTTTCCAAACATATCAGTTGCAGACTCTATAAATCAATGTGTCATACGGACTCCTTTTTTTGAAGTACTCCAATCTAAACTCATTGAGTAGCCTAAGTATTAGAAAAAAATATTGTTTTCTTTAGAAGACTCGAGCTTGAGTAGCTGTGTCTGCAGACATGTGCATTATCATAAGTTAAGAAAAATTGTCAACAAACCTTACGTACCATTGAAAAAAATACATGGATATGAGAGATGACCCAAAGACCTTCCAAAATTCAACCCATCAATTTTGCTGTCCCCTAAATTGTGACTGTATGTGTGCACAGTGATTATCCTATAGACCTATCAATCATCCTTACCTTTCTGTTCATTTCCTGGACTGCAATCCTTCGCATGCTCTCGACAACATCAACATTTACCAGCTTCCTCTTCTTTCCGATCAGCCAGCCCTTTGGATAGCTTGCAGCATCAAAGTCAGGTGGGGGAAGCAAAGATTCAGCCGATGGTCGCCAGCCATTGACGTTTTTTATAGGTTCCAGGGGTTCGAACAGAGCCTTCCGGCGCTCAGAAAGTTCGGAAGCTGTTGCGGGATCCGGTGCATTGTCTTGATCAAGAGTGTGTTCTTCCTGTTTGGTGGGTGTCACATTAGCAGTCTCTTGTGTTACCTTGTCTAAATTCCTCCCGCTAGCTGTCGGAGAGAAGTTAAAAACATTCTAGTTCCAACTGATTTTGATGCATCTCTAAACTAAACATGAACTCATTAAAACATCATTTTGTAGTTAAGTTCCAAACTTCTACAAACTCACTTGTTCTTCTAAAACAGACTTTCACTGATTGTGATTTGTGAAGACAGAAAGTGAAGAAGTTAACAACAGTTTGTCTAACGCTACGTTGATCTTACTCATCTTTCTTCCTTGTTCTTTCGAGGATATATGCTCACATCTAAGTCTTCGTATATTCATAAACATGCATGACTACACAGGGTTTTATATTTGAGGAATAAATTTATAAAGTTTCAAGAGACGAACATACAAATTTTTAAACAGTGAAAACAAATTATTAATAGAAAATATAAAAATAATTAAATTATATAAAAATTTGAAATTTTCAGAGCGAACACCTCGTCAACCCCTTATCCATCCGTGATGATAATATCAGATTAAAAATTAGCTGACCCTATTCCCATATGTAATGGGATAAGGGGGAGGTAGGATAGTAGGCTGCCCCCAACGCTAGGTTGAGAGCAGCTTCCGTGGAATACATCTATTATGAATTGCTCTCAGTGGGACTCGATCCCACGACCACAAAGTTAAGAGCCTTGTCCTCTACCAACTGAGCTAGACGGGCAATTAAATTATATTAAAAACCTCTCTAAATATAAGTAATATTTTACGTTAAGAGTATGAATTTAAAAAATTATATTAAAAATTTAGTAACTACAAAATTATGAAATTTTAAGAATATGAAATTAAATTATTAATAAAAAATCTGAAAATTTCCTGGACAGATATATAGATTTTATTTGTATTTTCATATCATGGAGCATGTGCTTGAAATAACAGGATGCTCCCATGCTCCCATCCCTATGATTTGATCTGTCTTTATGCGCCCATTACCAAAAAATGAAGCCTTTCATGCTAATTAAAAATACCTCAAAAATAAAATAAACAAATGTCTTCAAATTCCACGTTTTGTTTATTCAGTGACTTCATTTTAATTTCAAATATTATTTTTCGCAAGTTTATTTTTAATTTCTCATACGGTATATATATATTGAAAAAAATTCAATAAAGTCAAATGAAGATCTTGGTGTGGAGTAAGATCAAATTTTTTGTGGAGCATAGGACCCATACTAACAAAAGCTATATCTGTCTAAATTAGATTTTATATTTATTTATTATTACATTTTGTAAAAGTCCATTTTTGGCCTAATACATGAAATTAAATCTTTTTTCATTTATTTTTGTTTGAAGAATATAACAGCTGAACTTGAAGTTGCTTGATTAAAGGAGAATCAAAATCACGATAACTGAAAAGAAAACGATGATGCAAGCAGTAAAATAACCTATTTAAGAAAACTAGGTAAATTAACGTAGCAGGAAAGTAATCATCACTCGTGAACATAAACACTGGGAATTTCTAATGTCACCGATACAACCAACTAATCGTTTTAAATGAATTTAGTTGAAAATAAATCAGGTTCCCCTAATTCAGAGTAAAATGTTTCAAAAAGATGAATGAATTATGAGGAAAAATCATGCAAAAACAAACAGAGAAGGGAAGTGAATTAAACATTACCAGATCTCTTCCTGGAATTCCGTGAAATCCTAGTTGTAGAGACTGGTGAAAACCCTTCCAAAGCTGCTGAACCAACCTCCTTCTCCATTAACGAATTCAAACTGAAAACAGAGATTATCAATACTTTGTTTTCAAACCCAGACTCCAAAATAAGAAAGAGAGCAAGAAAGGGTATTTTTTACCTCAGCAGATTTGGGTTTTGTTGAATTTACAAGGGTTTTTTTTTAAAATTAAATAGGTAAGAATACGAAGAAAGAAAGAAGATAATGAATTGAGGGAGGGAAGCAACATCCTTTTGTCTTCTCTTTATCTACCTTTCTTTGCTTATATTATCAATTTATCATGCAATTTCCTACCTAATTATTAATTAAATTTATGGTGCGAAAAATAAAAATAAAACTGTTCCAATGTTTTACATTAAATAAAGGGTAAACTACATATTTAGTATCTAAACTATTACTTTGTTTCATTTTGGTACTCAAACTATATTTTTTCAAACTTATACCAAATGTTTAGTTGATGGCTCATTTTGGAACCTTACGTTAAAAATTTAACGGTGATGTTGACGTGTCCCATAAGTAAATGTGTGTCATCATTGAAAAAATAAAAATGCAATGACATTAGTTATGTTAAGACTTTAATGGTGGGGGTACTTAGGGATGACAATTTTACTTGAAATCGACGAATTTTTGACCTATCCAACTCTATAGGGTCAATTTTTTATAAGAAAAATTAGGTTCGAGTCAGATTTTATATAGGATTAGATTGAGCCGGGATGAATTCTGGTGAAGGGTGAAAAACTTTCAACCTGACCCGACTCGGGGTAATAGAGTAATTTTTCATATAAATTTATATATAATTGCTATAATACTCATCTCTCTATTTTTTAAATTAGATTCTTAATTTATGTCACATCAGGTTTATAGTCTAAAAAATCAGATTGGGTCAAGTTCGGGTGGAGGTTATACATTTGTTGGTTAGGTCGGATCGGGTGAAAGATATATATTTTTTAAGTTGAGTGGAGGATATATATAATTTTCAGCTCTGGTTGACAAAAAACTCGACCCAACCTAACCCGTTATAATCTCTAGGGGTACCAAAATGAAACTTAAATTAAATGTTATATATAATTTTTTAAAAGATAAAATTTGAGTGCCAAAACGGAATAAAATGAATAGTTTAAATGTGTAGTTTATCCTTAAATAAAAGAGCGGTAATCAATAATATATTTATTTGATTTTATAATAATTTGTCCGAACGCAGGAATGGAATATCCCTCGGTAAAATCAACGTCTTTTTTCTTCTTCTTTTATCTGAGAAAACAGAGCAGTCTTGTTGAAGTGTGGGCCTATTTTTTTGTCATAATTATATGTATATTTTGGATTTAGACAAAATCCAATTGTCCAAATCAATCTCTTCAGGATTATTTACGATTAAAGTTTGACGTGAGCAAAATTTAGTTTTACTCTAAAAATCAATTTTTTAACTTAACTAAAAAAAGTTCGACTATAATTGACATGAAATTATAATTTCATAAATTTGAATCGATTATAAGAAATTTTAAGTTCAAATTAAGTTATAAAATATAATTTAAGTAATTTTAATTTTTAGTAATTAATATATTAATTTTTAAATTTGAGTCAAATCCTTCGACCTTGTATAATATATGTATATCACATATGAAAAAAAATATAAAAAAATATATATGTATTGTATATGGTCAGCGATGGACTTAGAGGGGCGGGTGGGGGTGGTCGGCTGGTCGCCCCCCTAAAAATTTCAAATTTCTATATAATTTAGATATTTTCTTTGTATTTTTTATTGAAAATATGTTTTCGCCCTCCTAAAATTTTATAAATTCTCGTCTATTAAAAATTTTATAAGTTCGTCACTCTTAACATAAAATATTGTGTTTATCCTGTATATAGTTATAAAAAACTATTTAAATTATAATTAAATTACATCATAATATTATAAATATTTATAAATTAAATTTAAATAGAAACTTGAAAACTCGACTCTACTCAAATTTTATAAATTCGACTCGACTCAAATTTTTTTTAAGTCAAGTTCAAATTATAGAATAAGACTTATCAACTTAAATAACTCGAAATTTTTTAATTTGACTCGAATCAATCAAATACTCACCCCTAATTAAAATACCACCCGCACTATGCTAAAAATATTTTATATGATAAATTACCACTAAAGTTATTACATAGTAAAGTTAATTTTTAATCGTAAAAGTAAAATTTATTAGTTAGGTCATTAAATGTTTTATTTTATTTTATTTTATTTTTAACAGATGAAGCTAGTTCTATTTAAAAGAAAAACTATAGAATTACAATGAATGTTTATAATTATAATCATAAATTAAATATATAATAACATTTTCTTATAATCATTGACACAATAAATTAGTCAATATCACACAATAACCATACAATAAAAATGTTAAAAACCTAACTAAACAACTGAAACAAAAGTGAGATACGAACAAAAATGACTACATCAACAAACGAATCACAAAATGGATCAAACTACTAAAAACCATCGACATATCGTAAATCAAAATCAACCAATGTGAGAAAGCTGTTCACGAACCCAAATCACGTATCTAAATCTGAGAGTCTAAAACATAAAATATTAATATGAAAACGAATAAACACTATCTTAACTAGTTGAGATGATGTCAAATACAACCTAGAGAAAATGATAATTAAAAAATATCGATAACAATGACCAGTATCAAAATTGTATCGTCGCATAAAGAGAAGATAATCTAACCGACAAAGTTTTTAATGTAAAAAGTAAATCATCAAGAGTTGATTGTAAATAAAATTATTAATGTAAAAGTTCAATAAATTTATATAATAATACATTTATTTTTCATTATCCATGTATTTTATTTATTAAACTTTAATTAAACACAATTTAATAAGTTTTATTTTAATTTTATTTTGTTTTTTTAATAAAACTAGATTAATTTTTAGTCTTTTTAATAAAATTTTAAAATTTTTAATTAGATTCAAAAGTTGATTTAATGATCATATATACTATTATAAAAATAATAAATTTAATTTAAAAATATACGAATTTTACATCGAACATAATCTAACGTAAATATAATTTTTATTAATCATGAAACAAGTTCTGAGCTTGGCTTTAGTGTTTTGCAGCTTGTACACTCAATATCCTAAATTTGAATCCCTTAAACCCATTTTATTTTTAAAAATATAGTGCATCAACTACCGTTTAACTTAAATATATTTTTGATGCCAACTAGTGTTGTGTCGGCATAAGATTCAAGAATTTAAGTTTGTAAGGTTAAGTTCGAATCCTACCACCATCACTCTTGATGGACAATCTGTAAATTCCTATGTAAATCTCAATTGGATCTTAATTATGCCTTAATCATAGATCGTGGAACCACCCATAACCTAAACTTTTTGTAACAAAAAAAAAATATTTTTGATCAAACATAGATCAAATACTTAAGTTGGTTCAACGGTAAAGTTTTCACTTATAATACTCAAGTCTCGTGTTTGAATCACAAATGTATTTCAATGAATGATTAAATTTATTAAATTATTTGTAATTAAAATTAGAACTGAATTAATTGAGTGTATTATATAAATTATATCTTAATCACACCAACAATTTTGTTAATGATTAATAACTAATATATTAATTAAAATCAAATTAAAAGTTTAAAAACCTACTTGAATATTTTTATACAATTATCAAAATAAAGCCAATATCATAATTTAATAACCAATAGAAATCTCCTCTGTTGCAGTTATTTGCTTTTGGCGATTACCACAAACTTTTTACATGGTTTTTTCTGACCATTTCCTATCATTTTTATCTTCTTTTTTTCTCTCACTTGGGTGTGTGTGTTTTTTTGGGTTAATTTCTAATTGTATTTTAACGTATTTATTATAATGATTTTTCTTGGTCTTTTTCCTGATAAAAGATATTATGTCTATCATTGTTTTTGAGCTTTCGATGCAAGTTTTTTCTTTTAGTATTTTTCTTGGTATGTGGTTCTACGAAATTTCTTGATTACTTGCTTTCTCGATGTTTGGTTTTTTCACTTGTTTGTATATGACATTTTTTTAGTTTTCGAATATATGTGCCGGAGAAGACTACGGGATTTGTTTTCATTCGTTGGCTTTGTTTGTTGAGTATTTGTATATTATTAACAGTAAAACATTGTATTTACAGCAAAGTTGAGAAGCTGTTAATTATCACCAATGGTGTAGGAAGAAATTCCCAGAGATGAGGCGAATGTAGCGATGGTATCGCCCGCAAGGTATCGTTTAAGACGATCGAGATCATCGGCGGCATCGAGCATGGTTGGCCGAGTTGATGGAGTTTCTTGAGTGCAAAGAATACCCAATTCTATCAGCTCTGCAATGGCAACTTCCCACATTCTTTTCACTTCTGGGGACTGCTCCAACGAAAATCGAATCAATGACAAATCCACCACTTTTTCGACTCTTCCATGGTAGTGATTCTTCACCCATTTGTGCAAGTTTAATCCGCCAGTAAACATGTCATTAGTTGGTCGTTTTCTTGTCACCGTCTCAAGAACTATAACTCCAAAGCTGTACACATCTCCCCGACGTATTCGATCCGAATCCGTATTCTGCACCATCGTTAATACGAGTTCTAAGGCATAGTTTAAAATTCGAATCCTATGTGTACAATAACTGTGATACAAAAAAGTGAACCATGAGGATTACCTGGAGCAATGTAACCAATGGATCCTGTTAACATATTTGCAGTAGAATTTCCCATGTTCTCAGTAGCTCCACATCCATTGCCAGCACCTACTGTCATAATCAGCCTTGCAATTCCGAAGTCCGAAACCAACGCCGTCATATCATCGTTTAGAAGAACATTGCTCGGTTTTAGATCACAGTGTATGACTCGAACCGGGGAATGGTGATGCAGATAGGCCATCCCTTCTGCAATGTCACTGCAAATCCTAACTCTCTGTATTAGCCTCAAATCTAAAGAGCCTGAACCCGAACTTGACTCGGAATGTGGATAGAGACGGCTGTCTAGGCTTCCATTTGCCATATATGGAAGAACCAAAGCCTTAAAATCGGGTAAACTACAAGCTGTTATGATTCGAATAAGGTTTCGGTGCCGAATCCTCTTCAGAACTTGGCATTCTCTATTGAAACTTTTGGTTGAATTCCCAGACTGCAAATCTAGTAGCTTCACAGCAATGATAGTCCCATCTTGAAGAACTCCTTTGTAAACGCGTCCGTAGATTCTGGTCATCGAATCCTCCGGTGGCATTCGAAAGTTCTTTGTGAGTGATTCTGGGGAAATTGTGCATTATTCCTGGAAGAAACCATTAGTTTAATGCGGCGGATTCCGATCACAAAGCATACTGCTGATAACAGCAAGGTAACAAGCACGACTATGATCAAAATAACCAAGAATGTGCTTAGGTGTCAAAGCTTAGAAATGATCTCATCTCATACTCCAAGACAAAAGGATGGGTCCATTTGTGAGAAGAATATATCATTTTTATTATAATGATGTATCAAATTTTTTCCTTTCATCTATTTAGTGCAAAAAGATGGATTCACGTGTTATCAAACCATCCATGTTACCTTTTATAATTGATTGATTTCCTCTCACCCTTAAGATTGTTAGATCCAATAAATAATTGGTTAAGCATAATTGGCAGTAATAAGTAGGATTATATGAATTATCTGCATACACTAGAAAAATTCTATATCTATATACAATGAAGAGTCTGTAAATTTAATGATTGACCTTAGTGGCAATGCTAAGTTTCTCAACATACGTTGTGCCATATAATTAAATGGTGTTATATATATCATCACGGCTTACACTATACGATCGTATGCGGTAACTATACTCTGATATGGCTTGGATTAATGATCAGGCCCCTAATAGAATTATAAACACAGCCTGTGTGGCATGAACTATTGGTTGTGTATTAGATGCTTAAACAATTATGTCTTGCTTTGGAATGACTCACGACTTTATATTGAGTAGATTGAAATTCAAGATTAAGTTTAACAACATCATCGAATTAATACTAGAAGAAAAAGTGCAACAAAAATTCAACTCTGCCTACTTTTCTTGTTTGCTGCACCACACACACCTACAAAAATTACCCAGCAACCATCATATAGCAACAAATACAAGAAATTAGGTGCAATAAAAGCTCCTAGATACATTGCATACAAGATTATCTAAGCTACTAATGCAGCTAAAATGCTTAAATACGAGCAAATAACTACGTCTATGTGATGTGAATAGTAACTTTTTTTTAGAGTTAGGTGGCGTTTGGTTCGTTAGAATGTTTATGAGGGAATTGGAATCTGTGAAGAAATTGGAATCTGTCAGAAATTGGAATCCAATTCCATATTCTGTTTGGTTCGCAGACATGTCAGATGAATTTGATTTCAGTAATGTAAAATGACAGAATTGCCCGTCTTGTTTTTTTTGCTTTATTTTAGTTTGTTTTACAACTTACATGTAGTAATATATTATAAAAAATTAATAATTATTAAATTTTCATTTTATTGATTGATTATTCATTTCAATAAATTATAAAAATCATGTTAATAAACATCATAAGTTAAAATCATCGCAATCAAAATATATTAATAAGTTACCAAAAGATAGAACAATATTTCGATACATTCCAATCGGAGTATGTTAATTAGTTACAAAAAAAATATACCAAAAACTATTTTTATTCAATATATGAATTAGAAACCCGACCCGACACGACACAAAATAATAAAAAAATTATTTTTATTCAATAAAAACATTGACTTAATTGAAAAAAATTATATATAGAGGGGTATTATTGTAATTATTCCTAACTATATAAGTTAAAATTATATATTTTTTCCGGGTCAGTCTGGTTTTTTTCACCCTAAACCCGACCCCGACCCGACCCCAATATCACACTTAAAAAAACCCGACCCGACCCGAATATCACACTTAAAAAACCCGATCGACCCAAACAAAATAAAGTTTCACCCGACCCGACCCGAATATATGAATTAGAAATCCGACCAGAAATAATAAAAAAATATTTATTTTCAATAAAAATAATGACTTAATTGAAAAATATATATATATATAGGGGTATTATTGTAATTATTCCTAAATATATAAGGTAAAATTATATATATTTTCGGGTCTGGTATTTTTCACCCTAAACCCGAACTCGACCCGACCTTGACCCGACCCGAATATCACAATTAAAAAACCGACCCTATCCGACCAAAATAAAATTTCACCCAACCTGACCCGAATATATGAATTAGAAACCCGACCGACCCGAAATAATAAAAAAATATTTTTATTCAATATAAGAATAAGTTACCAAAAGATTGATGAGGATAGTATGGTCAAATTTCAATTCCCTCCAACAAATGAATTGAATTACATCCATTCTTGGATGAAATTCACTTTTCCTCATTTGATAGAAAGTTAAAGCCACGAGAGATTCAAATTCGCTTGAAAAACTTGAACCAAACATGAGAAAGTGGTGGAATTAGAATTCAATTCTAAGGGATTTCATCCAACCAAACGTCGTCTAGTCTTTTGGTGGACGGTAGCGATCAAAGGCCTTGAGTCGAGAGAAACGAAAATTCCTTTGTAGATATATGGTGATCGGAGCCTTGAATGGAAGAAGAAACCTCATATTCATAGTCAAGGGACCAAAATGTTTCGATTTGTCAACTTTGGTTCAAGGCGACCGTCGACAGTGGTGGTCGACACAAACGTCAATAGTGAATAATACACGGTTACCTATAGGGAACTAGAACCAAAGGTGCCCATTTCTACAAATTGCTCTATTGCCCCTCTACGACTAAAATTGTGTGATTAAAATTTAAAAAAAAAATTAAAAGTACAATGAATAAAATAGGAGAAAGAATAAAATTTAGTTATTAAATATGTAATTTACCCTTAAAATAAAAAATTCCGATTTTTGTATAAATCATTTTAATTCGAAAAATCACAGTCCATATTGATTTAAAAATTTTAGGTCACTTTGATAGCTCAATGTAACACTCACAAATTTATCGTAAAATTTAAATCGAGTTTAAGATATTACACATACATACATGCAATAATTTTTAAAATTTGGGACGAATTATGTTATTTTTTTCTTATAAGAACTCCTATAATAACTTAATAAGTAATTCGACTGAATGATTAAATTTTGTACACTTATATTTTTTTACAATATTTACACTTATTTTCTTAACTAAATGAACCAAGTCCTATATCAATTAGAAACTTAAGGTCAATTTCAGGGACTAAATAAGTAAATAAAAAAAGTCAACTAAGTATCTACGACTAATCTAAAGGATAGAATAGATATCTATAATGAAGTTGGAAGGTTTAAAAAATTAAAATGATAAAAATAATTACTTAAGGGTAGAGTTCACACAAAATATTTATCAACAGAATAAATCAATATTCCCGTGCTTCCTTTTCCCCGAGTTTTGAGAATGAAAATGTTACTCTCCTAGCCAGTAGCTGAACTCAACGTAGATGATGGCCCTTCTTTCTCTAGCAAGAAGACTCCGAAGGATTCACTCTCATACCCTATTTCCATTTCTTGTTCAGCATCCTACCACTGTTACCTCGCCTTTTCTTTCTTCTTCAACCCAACAATTTCTCTCATTGGCATTTCATCGAACATTCTTTATATCCTCTCAAAACCCGCTTTTCACCTCTAATTTCTCCACGCACCAATCCCTTTCAAGCCAAACTCAAACCTACCCATTTGAGATCACTCCGCCAGCAATCCTTGACTCAGATCCACAAGTTCCAGCTCTCCTCCATTTGCTTAAACGGCTTGACCATTTTAGCTCTGAACCTGAGACCATGGCTTCTCTTAACGAGTCTGGTATCAAGGCAACTCTGGGCTTGGTGTCTTCAGCGATTTGGACATTGAGGGAAGAGTGGAGACTAGCCTTTTTGGCTTTTAAATGGGGTGAAAACTGGGGATGTAGCGGTCAAAGTACCTACGAGTTGATGATCTGGGTGTTGGGAAATCACAGGAAGTTTAACATGGCTTGGTGTTTGATTCGAGACATATATCGTTCTTCGATGGATACAAGACGGGCAATGTTTATAATGATTGATCGGTGAGCATGCAGTTGGTTGCAAATATTCCTATTGCTGATTTTTGGATACATAAGATGTTTTTTTTTTTGGTATGATATTGCACATACAAATAGGAATTACTATCAGCCTATGTGACACGAATACTAAATCAAGGAGAAAGAGAAAGCTAATGAACATTTGACAATGGCAAAAATCCTGAATCAATTTGAGAAACTCCATCTAAAGTTGGACTTAATTGAGACTGAAAGGTCCCAAGCCCCCGTGTTACCACTGAGGCAAGACATCACAGGCACAATTAGGATCTTTGTGAACGTGAAATAAGTTGCAACTTGCAATGCGTTCTAAAAACTATGCCGATTACAGGCTAATAAATCTACATAATTATGATGAGCATAAGAGTGACTGTGCTTGTGTATTATATATTCACGGTAACTCTCTATGTTGTAATGCTTTCTAAAATGACCTGCTCTTTGCAGGTCAATAAAACTATAGTGATAAGCTTGTTGTCATTAAGAACTAAGTTCCTTCTGATCCATCTAGTGTTGTTAAGGGCGCAAGGCGTTACAACCCTTATATTGCATGAGAGACGGTGTTTCTGTTAATTTAGTCATAGGTCGCACTGATAACCATGTTCAAATTGATTGTTCCTATTATAGTTTCTCAACTTGATTATTTGTTTATTTTTCTCCTTTCAAGTTTTGGTTTTTAACCACTTGAGAATTTCTGTTGAATTCTCTGCAGTTTGTCTAGTGAACTCTTTTGTATTGATGTCCTCTATTGGTGGACTGAGATCCTTGCTTCTTTTTACCCCCACTTTTCAGTGTGCATTTGCATTATTTTAAAACATTCAGTAGGTAGCCATTTTACTCTCTATAATATCATTTCCGAATATTCATTCAAGGCATATCATTCTTTAATATTTTGTTCTTATATCCTGTTTGTTTCCTTTACCATTTCATTTGGCGACAATTAGATACGCAGCCACAGGTGATCCATGCAAAGCTATTCAAACTTTCCATACAATGGAGAAGTTCAGAATGACTCCGGACGAAGAAGCATTCAGTACCCTCCTAAAGGTTCTATGTAGATATGGCAATGTTGAAGAGGCTGAAGAGATAATGCTTGTAAATAAGAAGCTCTTCCCGCTGAATGCTGATGGCTTCAACATTATTCTCAATGGTTGGTGTAAAGTTTTGGTTGATGTAGTTGAAGCAAAGAGAGTTTGGAGAGAAATGTCGAACTATTGCGTTATACCAAATGCAACCTCTTATACTCGTATGATTTCTTGTTTCTCAAAAGTTGGAAATCTCTTTGACTCACTGCGACTCTATGATGAAATGAAGAAAAGAGGCTTGGATCCATGCATTGAGGTCTACAATTCACTGGTGTATGTCCTAGCTTGTGAAAATTGCCTAAATGAAGCTTATAACATCCTCAAGAAAATGAAAAAATCTGGGTTGCAGCCAAATTCTGCCACTTACAACGCAATTATACGTCCTCTTTGTGAAGCAGAGAAGGTTGAGGAGGCAAGAAATATTTTGTTCACCATGAAAGAAGAGGATCTTAACCCAACCATGGAAACCTACCATGCATTTCTTCATGGTGTTGATTTTGAAGGAACTTTAGAAATTCTTAACCATATGAAGGCTGCTGGTTTAGGTCCTGTTGGTGATACCTTTCTCTTTATTCTCAGTAAGGTTTTCAAAGTGGAGCAACCTGAGCATGCACTGAAGATTTGGGCAGAAATGAAGCATTTTGAAGTAATCCCTGATTCAAGTCATTATATAATGTTAGTGGAAGGGCTAGCAAAATCTGGATGGTTAGTTAAAGCCAGGGAATACTATGATGAGATGAGATCCTGTGGATTTTCGGACGAACCCAAGCTCAAGGAGCTATTGGAGGAACCAAAGCAACACAGTGGCCATGTGAGGCAGAGAGGTCCTACAGAGATTAAGAGAAATAAACAATTAAATGCATGGAAAGGAAAGAAACTAGGATAAAAGAAAAAGGTCAATGCTAATAAGAGATGAAGACATCAGGAAATGGTTCTATCTTAAAGTCTGTATGCATAAAGCTGAAAATTCTTCCCTTCTTTTACTATCTTTTAAAATTGAAGGTTGTCCATTTGGGGACACTGACTACTCCCTCCATGAGGGATGCTGGACCTGGGGCTATACTTTGGATGTACGGTGGGAGAATTGACATTGGTAGATGTGTGATTCGGCTCGAGGATGCAATCTCTTCTATTGATGATATGGGAAGATCTTTAATCCATTACAAGCTCAACCAAATCTTGGTGAAGCCTAAAAGAAAAGAGTTCCAAGACTGACATCATGGGCAGCTAAAAACAGCATCATAGAAGGTGAAAACCCTAGGCACTCACATAATTTGTATTGATCTGTCCACTTTTACGATTGGCTTTAATACATGATAACCGCTGTATGCTTCAGAAACAAACGATGAAAACCAAGGTGGTCAGGTTGTTCCAAGTTATTTGATGCGTTTGAGTTTCATCCTGATATTTATGGATATTGTTTAGTCTCACAGGTGTAGAATATTGGCTAATTGTTGGCTTGCTTTCCCGGTATTTACCTGTTCAATCAATGTCGCTTATATCATTGAGGCTTGAGAAAACTGAATGCATTTTAGCGGTAGGCCAAGGACCGTTAGCAGCACATTGTATTCTTCTTTCGAAGAAGGAAACACTGATTGGGTTTCACCTCCTCACCTAAGAGGTATTTAAAAAATTGTGTTAACTTTTAAGGACAACATGATTATATCATTTATTAATTCTTAATAACAAAAGTTAGTAAAATAATTTCATTAAAATTGAAAAGCATATTTATTTAGGACGCCAATCATACATAGTTTTAACTCAATTTTATTATAAATAATATTCCAATCGATCCTTTTTTTTCTTTTTAAATCAAAAGCATATTTATTTAGGACGCCAAACACGATGGCGGTACTCCGGAAGAGCCTACAATGGAAAAGCATTCTTGTATGATGCAAAGTGTAACAAACCATGCTTGAAGAAAGTTCCATCCAGTCCCTGCATTTTTTTCATTTAATGAGTGTTTATGCTTATCATATGTACATGTAGTATATGTATAGTGATGAGTGTGCTATATTAACACACACACACACACACACATATGTCTATGCAAAGCATACGTAGTATATAATGAGTGTGCTATATACGTATAGTGATGAATGTGCTATATATGTAGGGTTAGACGTAAATATTTTTTCATTTATTCAAAAGACTTTTTTACTCTGATGTTAACCCCTCAGCCAGTAGATTCTCCGTGCCGTTTTCCCAAGTCCAAACGCATGATTTCCTCACTGAAACGGAGGCTCAACAAGTGGCTGGAAAGAATCCAATGGAAGTGCGGTTGTTAGACCTTCCATGGAGGAAACGACTCTGAGTTTCAATAGGTGGGAGACGGAGAAAGCCAAACTCTACGTGATGATCACAACATGGAACTCAGTTGTGATGAATAACCGACTCGTGGTTGGCGATATCATGCAGCTCTGGTCTTTTCGGGTGAACTCGGAACTGTGCTTTGCACTTGTCGAAGTTGATGTTTAGATTACAAGGTTCAAGTAATGTTCTTTGTTTAATTGGTTCTTCTGGATTGTTTCTCCTACTTATGTAGTACGATTTCGGCTTTTTGATATTAAATAAATTGATCTTTGCCGAGCAAAAAAAGTATTGTTCTTCGTCACCAAGCATGTTTGATGATTATTAGATATTAATCTGTCTTAATTGAAAGCGGTTTAGCGAAAAACAAGAGTTTAGCGAAAAATGTTTGGTTTTGATACCTTTTAAATATGATAATAATGTGAATCTTTGTGATAACTTGAGTAAAAAGTATCATTGAATGACATCTAATTTGATCGACCATGCATAAAACAATTAAACTTCTTTTTGCACATGCCAACTGGCATGGGTGGAACAATCAACAATGGCTCATCACCTCCGGAATATGGGTGCCAACCAGCATGTTCCAATATTTTAATAACGATTGATTTCACTTTGATTGTTTTTTTCGCTTACAAAATGTCCAGGTGCTGTTACTGCCCCGGCCATGATACGTTTTGGAGATGGGCCTCCTTGTTCGAGAAGTCGATGAACCATGTGGATCATGAAATGCAAAAAGTGGGAGTTGTTTTCCCTTCCACCACCCCTACTCTCAGCACCAAATGATGCAAATTGTGGTAGCATAAGAACAATATCATAAGTCAACAACGAAGAGTGCTAAAGAAAGGAAAGTACGGGTGATGATGAAGCAACTGGTTCCATCTTGATGCCGGCTTGATCATTGGTTAGCAATATCATTTAAAAACATTATGACGATAACTAGATGATGAACAACTTGATTCAGATTTCAGAACCCTATAAATTTATACAAAGTTTGAATCTCCCATGTAATACAGGTTGCCCATTCAACATGTTTTAAGGGAAGTTACGGATGCCTGCCTGCAAAACTGATCTAACAGACAACGTCTGCCTACAACACAGCAGCAGATGGAAAATTGAAAATAGCAGTAGAAAGGTCTGCCTACAACACAGTGTTTAAAAAAAACAAGGCTTTGAGATAAATTATAAAATTGAAAACATCAGTGCATAGCAGCGACAACGGGCTTTTGCCTTCAAAAGTATGAAAATTTGGCACCACCCACACTCGAATCGATTATCTTCAGTGTGTTTGGTTAACATGATAACCAACTACATCACGACACCAAGTTGTTGATGAACTTTTCCACCCAGTCCCTGCAATATTTCTTTAATGAGTGTTTATGCTAATCATACGTAGAAGTATAAGTATAGTGATATAATGAATGTGCTATATATGTATGGTTACCCGCTCAGCCTATTCAGAAGCATATGTATATACATGTAGTGATTAAGAAAAATGTACATTAAAATATATACGTATAGTTTCTTTGTTGATTTAGAATTGTAAAATCATTGTTAATTGTATGTAAAGCATACTTGACCAATAATTAAATTCATCAAAAGTCTGTGCAGTATGTAGATAGTCGTTTTTGTCCGGATCTACAAAAACATTTTATTATATTATTTATTTATTATTATTATTATTATTATTAATTATTATTTTATTATTTTTGCAGGCCCCACACTCAACCACCACGATTCAACAACTCCGATTTAGTGGGATTCAGAAAACAAAACAACGTATTTGAGTCTTATTGAAACACTAAAAACTGAGGCATTTGAGTCCAAATGGGACTCTAAAACGTCTCTAAAAATAGCCAATCACTAGGCTATTTAAAGGCAAGCAAGGGGGAAGGTAACGCAGACACGTATATTGGAACAAGCCATTAATTTGGACAAAGACGGTTCTTTATTTTATTTTAGCCTTCGGCCCATTATCGTTTTCTCACTTCGCCTGGTTCGGAAAGGCTTCCAAATCCTTGGAGCACCCGAAGGAATAAAAGTGTTCCGATCAAGTTCAGCTCACATCATTGCGGCTCGGTTCGCTCCACAATCCAACATTGCACCATCGTCGTTTCGTGTCTCATCAAGGGTTCCTCTCTCCAACTGCATTTTCAGGAGTCCAGTTGAAGCGTGTTTCTGCTTGGAATCGATGTTGTCGTATCACTCTGCTACTGCTTCAGCTTTGATGACTTCGATGCTCACTGTTTCTCGCAGCAGCGCTGCTTGGTTCTCTGAAGGGTTGACTTTACATTGTTATAAAATCCTCCATCATAGTATGTGTAAAAAGTTGGTTTTATTTTTTAATTTTAGCATTTTATTATTATTATTTATTTTATGTTTTTTACTTCTTATTATTTTTATTTTATTTTATTACTTTTAGAATTTAACATTTTTTTATTTTTTCCTTTGATTCATTTAATATTATATATATATATATATATATTTGATTTATTTAATATTTATTTATTATTTTTTATCTAACATTTTTAACTTTTTAGGTATATTTTCAATTGATCAAAGGTAATTAGTTTAAATTGATTTTTTAAATTTTGATTTAAATTTAAATTTTCGCAATTAAGACAACCGACGAATTAATTGGTACCTAAAGGGCAGTACAAGGGTGTTAATCCTTCCTTGACTGTAACCAACTCCCGAACCCGACACATTTTTGATAAAAACGCAGACCATGTAAGATGGTGTCTGATCCACCTAAATGTTTTTAAAATGGTCGGTGGAGACTCTAACCCATTATTTCAAGTCGAAGTCCAATTCTGGGCCCAACCGAAAGACGACCGCGACACAATATTTACAAAATTTGATTCTTTTCCTTCTATGGGTATATATACCTTTTTATCATGATTTTGTGTTAGGAGAGCGAATCTCTAAATTTTAGGATGTGATAAATTTACAAAAATCGCGGAGGATGAAAAAAGATTTTCAATATAAAATATATAGAAAAAATTTAAAATATATTATAATTTTAAATTTTTAAGAGGACGATTGTCACTACACGTTCCTCTCGATCCATCCTTGGCTATATGGTTTGTAAGTTGAACAAATGATATATGATTTGAAATAGGCATCTCGAGCTTGGTTTGAGAAGCTCAGAGAGTATTTGTTTTCACAAGGCTTTGAGATGACAAAGTCAGATGCTTCTTTGTTTGTGAGGAAGACTAACTCTAGTTTAATTTGCTTATTAGTGTATGTGGATGACATTATACTCACTTTAGATGATGATACTGAAGTTCAAAAAACATTGATAATTTAAACAAGGTTTTATCATTAATAGACCTTGGTAATTTACATTACTTTTTTGGCATTAAGGTCTACCACAAGTCTGATGGTGTCTTCTTGAGCCTAACGAAATATATGGTTGACCTCTTGAAGAATATTGGTCCCGAAAGTGCCAAGAGTCTTCCCACACCAATAGCGAGCAGTTGCAAGTTGTTTATCAATGCAGGAAGTCCAATTATGAACATGACATAAAGTTCACTGCTGTTTCTCGATTATCTAATATAGGTTTTACTGATACAGGCTGTGGATCTGATGTTGATGATCGACGATATATGATATAATTTTATATCTATTTTGGTGGAATCCTATATCGTGGGGTTTATGCAAACAGGTTGTGTCTAGATCTAAGATTGAAATAGAGTATCAGTAGGCTTGTAAATGAACTGAACGTTCAGCGAACCGTTCATGAACCGTGCGGCGGAAAGTTCGTTTATGTTTGTTTATTTATTAAATGAACGAACATGAACAAGATTTTGTATTCGTTTAATTAAATGAACGAACACGAACAAAGGGCTCGTTCGTTCATTTACGTTCGTAAACGTTCGATTATATGTTCATTCATTTATGTTCGAACAGAGGGCAAGTTGAATATGTTACGAAAATTATTGAAGTTGTTTGGATTTCAAGAAGATTGTTTTGTTGAACAAATTAACTTTAAGACTTTATTATGTTTATATATCTTATTTATGATTTATGTATGTCTTTGTCGTATTCGAACAAATTAACTCTAAAGTTGCAGGTTATATTAATGAATTTTAAGTTGTTATTCTTGTTGTTTACTTTTTTTTTACATTCATTTGTTGTGTTCGAATAAGTTTGTTTTTTGTGTTTGTGTTGTTTGTTCATGTTCATTTATTGTGTTCGTTTATGTTCGTTTATGTTCATTTGTTATTTTCGTTTATGTTTGTTCGTTTAAGTTCGTTTAAGTTCGTTTATCATTTAAATGAACGAACATGAACAAGCTATATTCCTTAATGAACAAACATGAACACAAATTTTTTTGTTCGTTTATGCTCGTTTATTTATTAAATGAACGAATATGAACATACCTCCTTTTGTATGCTTTTGATTTGTTTACAGGCGTAAGTATCAGAGTGTAGCGTGTGCAACAATAGAAATTATTTGGCTTGAATGTTTACTATATGCTGTTCCGTAAGGAAAATCTACATTATTGTGTGATAATTCTAGTACAGTAGTTGTTTCTGCAAATCCTGTTAAAAATAAGTTCAAGCATGTCGAGTTAGTCGAGTTAGATATGTTCTTTGTTTGAGAGAAAGCGGTAGCTTGAAAATTGATAGTAAATGAAATTCCTTCTTATGAACAAGTTGCAGACAATGAGTAAGCCTGTGTCTGCATATTCTTTTCATAGGCATTGAAGCAAGTTGTTTGTGGTGCCTATAAATTTTTACTAAATATTGTTTTCATTAAGGAATAACAAGAGCATCTATGAAGATTCGCAGTTTTATATCTAAAGCAAATTTTCAAAAAGCTGTTCAAAATTTATTTGTGGGGGGGGGGGGGACAGCTCTCCGGGTCAGTACGATTAATTCAACATGAACCCCCAACTAGATAATTGATAAATCGAGCATTCCTGAACCACCAAGCGAAACAGTGGTGTCTTTTAGGGTATTATTATTTTGGTCATCAAACTATAAATACTTCCGATTCTGTCAATCAAACTACAAATACTTCCGATTCTGTCACTAATATATCGATCAGTTGACAAATTACCAATTCAAGCAGATGGGAGGTGGAATCCATTTCTCCAAAATAGCAAGGCCCATACAAATATATATTCCATTGAGAAGAGGTAACCTACTAAACGGATCTTACCTACACAGATAAACTTAATATTTAGATCAGGGCTTCATCGCCACCGACAAGTCCGAAACTAGCATAGACACATTAGTATAAAAAAGGCTTATGATTAACAAGTACCTCTTAAACTCCGAGAAAGTGAAGACAATGCACTGAATCATTTGTCATTAGAGGTCAATAAGTACGTAAATGATTGCTTCACAATATGATATTAACAAAGAAACCCTTAGCTGCATTACATGGAAGAAAAGAAAGTAAAGAAAAAGTCAATACACGTATCAAAGAGATGACATGGGCCTCCCGAATAAATCTTCGATGGTGGCTCTTTTAAGTGATTTATCAGAATGCATACCAATTCGTCATGGATAGAAGCAATACAAAGGCACTAAAACTTTATACAAAATACTAGCAAAAACTGACAATCAATGAAAAATGGGGCATACAGGTGGACATATGATAATTTTTGGCAAGCTTCAACAGGCAAGTTGTGAAAGAACTTCTAATGAGAGAAATGGATAAGAGTATCAGTAAGTAGAATAATGATGCCTCATGGTCCCAACTTGTACAAAGGAGAAATCAGCAATGCAATAGAAAATAGAGAAGGTTCAACTTCAACCATAAATCAATTTTACCTTTTCAGAAAACAATTGGAGCAAGATTTGGTACAACAGACACATACAAAGCCTGTGCAATGTCGGTCACTATTCAAGAAGATGCAGAGATTATATTTCATCATTCACCTAATTTGCTCTCACATAATATGTTCACATAAATGCATCATTAAGAGATATACAAACTGTAAAAGCAATGGCGCAGTGGAAGAAGAATGAATACAATAAGCATAAGAAAATATTCATAAATTACGAAAATTGTTGCCAAAAGTGTATATTGAAAGTGTTAGTATGAGGCACTCCCATACAGACAACAAACTGTTATCCAATTTCCCCCCCTATTACTTGTCATTATCAATGAGCATTGTCAACACCTAAACCATATAATACACCAGAGTACTTTTCCAGAGTGCCACTAAAGAAGTTCTCCTTGAGTTTCCTGAATGTACAAGATGTGAGCAAACTATCCGAACCCGCTTGATGACAAATCCCAACTCTTTCCACTTCCAACAACTCTGCAAGCTTGTTCAATCCACCATGCAGACTGTTACAAAACTTCATCAAATGCTTGATATCATAGAGTGTGGGAAAGTAAATATGGATCAAATTAAAGAACCCAGCTTGTGTATCTGGTAAGTTCTGGCAAGTCAAGAGCTTAAGCAAGTAACCGAAATCATAACCACTGTGGAAAGTAACCCAATGCACACTATCATTCAAAACAATCCCTGAAGATATTAAAAGCTCACCAAATCTCATCGAATCAATACCTTTCTCATTGTTCTTCTTGAAATCAATCCCACTTTGCCTCAAAAGCTCAATAGAATCATTAGCAAAGACATCCTCGTCAACGTTAAACTCGCAAAATTAAACTGCCAAACGCAATATTTATCAGTTCCACAAGTAGGCAAGTTCCCTTCCTCGTCTGAAAAGGTAAGGCCCAATTGAATCAACTTTAACATATCAACATTATCTTTCAAAGTTTGGTAGTGATAGTCATAGCTGCTCTTGAAATTGCCCACAGGACGTAATACAATGCCCGGAAACTCGGTGTCCATGGCAATGTACGGGTAATCATCAACGATTTCCCGAATCAAAGCGAATTCTTCCTCAAGGTTATCATTCCATACCTCACGGATTTGGATTGAATCGCTCTTTGGCAACAGAGACATCAGTTGAAAATTAATAGGAGAAGCTCTTTTTTTTTAACCAATAACAACCCAAGAAGACAAAGATTCCTTAATTACCATGAAAACCCAAAAACAAAAAAAATACATCAGATTGAGATTTATCATATATGCAAGAAATAACGCTACAAATCATCCAAAACCCAATCCAAATATACATAATATAACAACCCTATAAATGAATTTTGAAGAATTAAACCAGAAATCAGAATTGAATAAGGGGAACAAAGAACAAACTTACCGTGAAGAAAAGGGAAAAGGGACAATTTCCCCCGAAAGGCCCTTCCTCTCTCTCTCTCTCTCTCTCAATACGGTTTTGGATTGGGAATTGGTGGAGGCCCTAGAACAGGCGTTTGATATTTTCTTTTACTTTATATTTTTTTTGGGGTCTCCCCCTGAAACGTGGTCGTTGTGTTATGGTTCGAAGGTTTCTTCTGTTTGTTTGTTTGTTTCCTGGGAAAAAGAGGGTGGCTTCAGTTTGTTTGTTTGTTTCCTGGGAAAAAGAGGGTGGCTTCAGTTTGTTTGTTTGTTTCTTGGGAAAAAGAGGGTGGCTTCAGCTTGTTTGTTTATTCATTTGGGAATTTTATTGTTTATCTAAACTAGAGAGAGAGAGAGAAAGGGATGGCTTGGAAGCTTTGCTTTGCCTTGCCTCACCTCACCTCCTCATCAACAGCAAATCTCTTTCTTTTTTCATTATGCCCCGAGCTTTGCGCCACTATATCTGTTCGGGTCGGATCCTAAATATACTCTTTTTATCTTTCTATACCAAACTTGGATCCGACCCGTTCACTATTCAAATATTTGTTTCTATTTTTTTAATGCATATAAAATTTTCTTTTATTGATCCAATTTAGTGAGGGAAAATACATAGAAATCAAATTATATAATAAATAACATAAAATATTTTTTTATATATAAACGATCGATAAATAACAAAATATATATAATATTTAATCTATAAATATCATATTACGATTATAAAATAAGACTCGTAGGATAAGATATTAAAATTAATACACCAACATCGTTTTCTTGTACAAAGTTTTTCGGATGATCTAGACATTTGTTTCATTCTCTGAAAATTGAAGATTGTGCATGCAAAAAATCTCATATGAGTTCAATCGTGCATTTTGACTTTTGATAAAATTTAAAATTTAAAATTATTATTCACTCTATTTATATTTAAATAAGATTAGGTCTCTTTAGAAAATATTGAAATGAGTTTATATGAAATTAGAATTTTGTTTTAAGAATTTTAATTAGATCATATTTATATTTAGTCACGTATCTTACATAATTGACTCAAATATGTATTTGATGTTTTATTTATTTTAGGAATTAACTAAGTTATTGGCCTATGAACATGTTATTTATTTTTTTCCTTAGATATACAATGCATATTTGAGTTTCAATAAACTTTGGCTATGAGCGTTTTCAATGTTAGTTATTCACCTTGTTTATTCTTTTGTTATTCATGTTATTACGTAAGAGTTATATTAATATTAGGGTGGGTTTAGGATCTGTCCAATTATCGTTGTTGGTAGACATAGTTGAGATGAAATTGATAATTAGGGATGAACTGAGGGGATAGATGGAGACAAGCGTCCCCCTGAAAATTTAAAATTATCATATATTATATACTTTTTATATATATCTATTTATTGAAAATCTATTTTCGTCTCATTGAATTTTATAATTTTGTCTCTTCCTCAAAATTTTGCAAATTTGTCCCCACTGACATAAAATCATCTATTCGTCCTAACTCTCATCCATCCTTATTTGATTTTTGCTGATCTGATCTGATCTGTTAATTTTCATTTTAATTGTTTACTTGTAAATCGCTTCATTTTTAATTCGAAATTCAATTTTCAACTAAAGGATCTATAATTGGTTTATAAAATCAAGTTGCATATACCCAATCTCTATAGAAATGATAACTTATTATTCTATTACTTGTCCGGTTATGTGTAGTAGCGCATTAGTTTGCCTATAAAGCAGAAATCAGTTAACAAGTTTTTGGTATCGTTATCGAGAATTAAAAATCTATGTGATTTTTTTATTATCTATTTTAGTTCTAGTACTTGCATTGTTTTTGTTTTGTTATTGCAAGGTGCTCGACAAATTATATGAACACTTAACCTTAATTTGAACCTGAATTGTATCTATTCGACCATGAGATGGAAAAAAAAACTTTTAGAAGGAGAAGACGAGAGCTTCAAAACGTGGGTGAAAAAAATAACATGATCGATCAGAATTTATCTCTGTTAATCGATGATAGGGATATGCCAATCCCAGAGCATATTTATCTCTGTATATCGATACTATAGCTAACAATTGACTTTCAAGAACCAAATTTCACACTGATTTTTGACCCCAAAGCAATTGTTACTGCTCTTCGTTTGAAGCTCATTCCTAATATCTCGTTTTCTTATGCAATTTTCTATTATGTATGTTTACAAAGAAATGCGGTTGTGATGGTTTTTGGCGGTCCATCCTTTCTAATTTGTGTGAAGAGCTGCAGATGATTGTTCAATGGTGGGGAAAGAGAGAGTATACAAACTGAAGAATATGATGAACAGTCTAGAGATCCAAAGAGAGTCATTTTTTCTCCAATCTTGCATGATGACTTATGTACAAGATAGCCGAAGCAGATTAGGCCAGCCTGCTGGAGCCCACAACAGCCATTAGGGAGTAGCTGTAGTTTTGGTTCAGTAGCACTAATATTTCCTCCATCATGTTCGAGTATGGCTGAAGGTTTGATCAGCTTGTGATCGGAGCCATGAATGTTGGAACTTCTGATATGATATTGAAGGTCTGATCAGCTTGTGATTGTGTCATGGCTCCTCGATCAAAATCACTTAATCCAGAACAGACCGGCTTTGAATATGATGCATATCCAGTTAAGAATCCGAATCTTCATCGCTAATTTCACCAGACATTTTACTCGAGTACCAACATCATCATTATTTGGTAAAGGTGGCTGCAAACGCGCCACAGCAGTTTTGGTAGAGAGTAGCAGTTGCTGATTGTTGAAAACCAAAATTTGCGGAAACTACAAGACTGTTAACTACTATTAATGGTAGTAGTGAACGATTTAGAAAACAATTGTAGAATTTTTCTTATTAAGAAATGGAAATATTTGTGAAAGGTGACAATTGTAGAAAGACCCGGAAACATTGAAAGGCCCTTACATCTCATCTCGCCACCTTTTGAGGTTATTCAGCAAACAAATACAAAACCAAGGCAACCCAAAACACTTTTCCTTCTTGTTTTTTTTACTATTTTTCTCCACTTTCTGGAGATTGTCATCATTGATGTTTATTGTTTCTTTTTCCTACTCCTACTCCTTGGGTTTATGCATGAAAGGAGTCGAACCCCACTTTCCAACTTAGAATTATCGTTGGGGTATTTCTGGAATTGGAACATGCATCATTTTGTTGCGAGATGCTTGTTTCTTTTTCTTGGGACATTGATTTCTTTTGTCCATTCAAAGACAGATTCGCCAGATGGTATGTATATAATATGCAGTATTCAACTTTGATGTTCTGGGATTTTTAAGCTGCAATTCTTGATGTATTCCATGCTTCAATTGTCATATGTTTGATCATTGTTCATCAACGTTTTCGGCTTAAGAACTCGCACGTCTGATTCATCAACATAAGCATAAATCTGTGCACATCACATGATCTGACGCTTGGTGATTGTATTCTTGTAGTTTCTGCCCTCAATGTGATGTTTAAAAGCCTGAATAGTCCTTCCCAATTGCATGGTTGGAAAAGCAGTGGTGGTGACCCTTGTGGTGATTCCTGGGAAGGGATCAAATGTTCGGGCTCATCGGTGACCGAAATGTAGATCTTCCCATTGCTTCTGTTGCTCTTCCATATCTATCTGGGAAATCAATCTTGCATTTTTCGATATTCAACATGACAAGTTACATTAAAATCTTGCAGAGACTTGAGCGATCATAACTTAAAAGGACAATTGGGGTACCAGTTATCGAGCTTGTCTTCAGTAAAGATCTTGTGAGCATTTGCTTCCGGAAATAGGCAAATTTTAATGTTATATTTTCTGTTTTTTTGTTATTATTATCTTAACTTTTACTTGTTAGAACTTAATCTGATGAAGGCTACACATTGTTGGTTCTAATACAGTGATGTAAGCAAGAACAACCTCAATGGTGATATCCCGTATCAATTACCTCCCAATGCTGAACGCATGTAAGTCATATATGATCTAAATTAATCATATTTGGAACATGTTTAATGGAGTTTCCGAGTTCGATATAACTTTGTGACCATCGGTTTTCATCGCTAAGGGAATTCTCTCGTTTGATGCAACCTTGTGGTCGTTGTTTTTCCTGCTTTAAAGTTGTGTTGCTTACTGCTTCTGAAAATGGTGCAAGTCACTGATATTTCTAGATTTACTTAATCAAATGATTCAAGTAAGATTAATTTGTTTAAATGCAAACATCATCTGTTACTTTCTCACCTTCCAAATGATGGGAAAGTTTGTTTTTGATCACTTTGATCTTCACAACATATATAAGGTGCATTTGTTTGATTCTCTGTAGTATCATACATATCTTATGAACTCAATTTGCAGAGACCTTTCTGAAAACAAATTTAATGGTAATGTGCCTTACTCGATATCTCAGATGATCAACCTTCAAGAAATGTAAGTGAAGTATTGTTTCATTAAAATTTGCCGGTTGGTACTTCCGTGTGTAATTATTTGGTTGCTTGCTGCAGAAATCTTAGCCATAATCAACTCAATGGACAGTTGAGCGATATGTTTGCAAAAGTTAAAAAACTTAAATCATTGTAAGCATTGGTGAAAAAAGAAAACTTTTCTTTGCAAATCTTTTGCAAACATCTGTGCTTACTAACATATGAACTGACATACAGTGATGTATCCAACAATCAACTGTCTGACAATCTGCCAAATTCTCTTGCAAATCTTACTAATTTGAACACTTTGTAAGTTGCAAAATTTTCCCATTCTTACTTTTGTTGAATGTTTTATTTTTTATTTTTACTCTTACAAGCCATGTTGCACGGGTACGGCAACCAAATACCGTTTCAAGTAGCTAATACGTTTCCAAGATAGATACGGAACGAGTACAATTTGGTTATATATTGAGGACGTCCCAAGTTGAAAGATTACGGCTAGAATTAGTTGGGTACGCTGGAGAGACTTTCGAGAATGTATCGGGATAACGTTTGATCTTCATGAGCGTACGTAGAGTTATTTTTTAAATTTAACTTCAAAAAATTAAAAAAAAGAAGATATTTTGAATAATAAATTGATGTTGATTTTGAAACATGGATTCTCGGAATATTAGTTGACTTACAATGAATTTTCGGATGGGTCTCAGGTATTTCTGAGTTGAGACTGCCTTTCAGTTACTTTCTAACGATCTTAAAACGCCTCAATCGGATGTAGGAAACTCAAAATATGTTCATTTTAACAAATATAGAGCAAGTAGAAAACCGGATACGGAATACGTGATTTTTTGTAATTACGAATTTTAAATTTTATTTATATTTATCGTACCCTTATCATACCCATACCATGTAATTTTGGATCACGTCCATGTATCCGTATCAGTGCAACATAGATTGGAAGGTCCCTGTTGCTAATTCTGCTTTCTCTTGCGTAGGCATCTGCAGAACAACAAATTCACTGGTACAGTAAATGTCCTTACCGACCTTCCCCTCAATGATCTGTACGTGGCCAGCAGATAAACCTTGCTGAAAATGATTTTTCTCTCCATACAACTATCAGTCACTTTCATTTCTTGCAGGAATGTTGAAAATAACAAATTTACCGGATGGATTCCTAATGAGTTGAAGGAGATTGACCAACTAGAGTGAGTATCTTACAAAACTTTCACTGTTTATAACTCTTTTAGTTCTCTAAAAGTTGTTTCCTTGTGATCATCCCTTGGGAAGAACTGGAGGAAATTCTTGGTCAACTGGATCAGCTCCCCCTCCACCGCCTGGTGTACGACACCGCCGTCATACCAATCACGAAGAGAAGAAAAATGAAGCTTCAGAGAAAGCTCTTCGAAATGGATTGATCATAGGTTTTTCATGTTTAGGTGGAGCCTCTCTTCTCCTCGTTCTTGTTTGTGTATTTACAAGGAGAAGATCACCTCCCCCATCCTCATATTTCCTTGATGAAGATATGATCAGTCGGCGTAAAGGTTTTACTCCCCTTCATTCACAAGAGTTGGGCACTGAAACATATGTTGGCATTTTGAAAGAACCCAAAGGTATACCTTTATTTGTGGTTTCTGCATGTAGCAATCACAAGTAGAGTTGTCTTTCTAACTGTTTGCATCATGTTGCACAAACATGCAAGAGTTTTCTCGATATTTCGAGTTGCTGCGGTGTATGCCAGTAAAGTATACTTTTAAGTTTTATGTCAATTTTTGGGATTTGCAAAAATTTTCAAGATACTTGTTACTGTCACACAAAGATTTATGCAGAGAATAGGATTGACATGTTTTAGATATATATTGACCAGCTATGTCCTGTAATTTTTGGCCTTTTTTAGCATCTTTTAATTTCTTGGTAACTAAGTAATAATATTTTTTATAGTGATAAGTTTAACAGATTATATTATGTCTGTTTATGAAAGATTTTATGTCAATGGATCCAGGCAATGGAGATATGAAGTCTTTGCTAAAATCTCCATCGATGGGCCTTAGGCGTTCGGTCTCAGGTCGTGTGTCCTTCAGTGAAAATGAGTTTGCAAACCGTCTAAAAGGAAGAAGAAGCACTTCTGTTCAAGTTGTACCTTATTCTTTGGGAGATTTGCAGAAAAGAACTGATAATTTCGCACCAGGTCGCCTTCTGGGCCAGGGCACCATTGGACGAGTTTATAGGGCAAAATATCCAGACGGAAAGGTTAGCATTTTTTGTTCTACCCCCTTTCTTCATTTCTTTCTAACTACATTTTTTAGATGCCATCTCATTAGCTTCTGGACATGTACCTTTGTCTCAGGTTTTAGCAGTGAAAAAGATAGATTCCTCTCTTTTTCAAGGCCAAAAGCCAGACGAATTCTCGAAACTTGTTACGAATATCTCAAAGCTTCACCATCCTAACATTGCTGAACTCGTTGGCTATTGTTCAGAACAAGGGCATAACATGCTAATATATGAATATTTCAGGAATGGCTCACTTCATGAGTTCCTACATATAGCAGATGATTTCAGCAAACCCCTAACTTGGAATACAAGAGTCAGAATTGCTTTAGGTGTCGCCAGGGCTGTTGAGTAAGTCATCATACATTTTTTTTGTTTTCAAAAATTCGGTATCGTCTTTATTCTATCTTTTTTGGTATTGGTTATATCAAACAACGATCACTCACTCCAAGATTTTCAAATCTGTGCACTTCAACTTGCAGTTTCAGACTTTAACTTGAATACTCAATCCAGATATGCTATGTTTTCCGGATTCGAGTTTAAACAGGATCATCTTAACTCATACAATATTGCATTGTCGTTCCCGAGTGCTGATACGATTTCTTAGAAATGTAGGTGGTTTTTTTCCTTAAAATTTTAACCCAGTGGTGCAAATTGCTTCGTTCAGGTATCTCCATGACGTTTGTTCTCCACCTATGGTTCATAAGAACATTAAGTCATCCAATATTTTGCTTGATCTTGAACTCAATCCTCGACTATCCGACTACGGCATGGCATGCTTTCATCAGGTTAGTAGTACAGTCGATCCATGGCTCGTTGCGGCAGAAGCTGCTGGGTTTTAGGGACAAAATCATGCATTAAGCCATAAAAGAAACATATCAGATCCTGTTTTAGGAATCTATGATAGTCATTATGATTTAGTATTTCAAGCATAAACATCATCTTAGAAAAATAAATATTGTATCTTCAATTTCCTTTTAAACAATTGTTTTCCAGCGTACAAGCCAGAACCTGGGTATGGGATACAATGCTCCAGAATGTATAAAGCCATCAGCATATACATTAAAGAGCGATGTGTACAGTTTTGGGGTCGTAATGTTGGAGCTACTGACCGGTCGGATGCCGGTGGATAAGTAAGCCTAAATCACTCACCCGATCCTCGTATCGTTTAGCCGAATTAATTATAGTGTTCGAGTTAATAGTTGAATTGCTGCTGCTTTCTGTATCAGTCAAAAACCAAGATCAGAGCAGTGCTTAGTGAAATGGGCCAGACCTCAGCTTCATGACGCTGATGCATTGGTAGGAATGGCTGATCCTGCCTTGAGGGGACTCTATCCTCCCAAATCACTCCCTCCCTTTGCTGATATTGTTTCCCTCTGTGTACAGGTAAATCAACAACATTACTGCCATCAAAACATCTCTTATGTTAAAACTTCGATGTTACTCGTACTCGAGTGACATGTCGAATACGGACATGTGTTTAATACATAATGTTCATCTTTGTCTAAGAATTCCATGTATTTGGAAAGTTCTTGGAGGATCATATCTTCGTACTCATGCTTGAACATGTCTTGGACACGAATATTTCGAGAAAAATGAAAGACATAAGAGTGACATAGAAATAGTTTATTGGGTGAGTGCTAAGGAGCTCGGTGCCGAAGCTCGGTTTAAGTTCTAACAGTTTTTTTTTTTTTTTTGGATTGTTTGGTCAGACGGATCCCGAACGTAGAGCTCCGATATCGGAGGTGGTGCAAGCATTGGTCCGATTAGTTCAACAATCAACCATAAACATGAAGGAAGATCTTTCATCTTCTTGCAGGACAACTGACACCGACTATGAATTTGTTTGATTTTTCCATTATCATTCTTTTTCATAGTCTGTAGAACAACATAGTCTTTAGGACCTCTATCTTCTTTAATAATCATTTCTCTTACTTTCCCATAAATGCAGTTTTTGGAAATAAATTAGGGTTGCATTGTTTTATTCATTTTTCAATTTCAACTTGATTTAAAATTTAATGTTTTTACCCTTTTTAAACGTATGTGACAAACATAATTCAAATCCAATGTTTTCAAAGAATTTGTTGAAAAATGCTAGAACCAATTTGGATTGAATACTAAATACCCGTATTTAATTTGAATAGGATTAGGGACCATAAACAACAAAACACTAAATGTCATCATACTTCAATTAGGACGGGAAATGATAGAAGACGGATCATGTACTCAAATTTAACTCGATCAATACTTAAATCGAATAAATTCAACTCGAGTTCTCAACAAGTCAAGACGAACCACTTGATATATGGTTCTACTTGATATCTGGTTCGTAAAACTCGAGGTAACTCAAAAAGATAATATGTTAAAATTTTAATTTTTTAAATTAAATTATTAATAATATTAACATTTATATGTTTTTTTAAATGCAATATAAGATGTTCATATACTTAAGATTTAAGTTCAAGCTCAAACTTTAATCGAGTTAATTCTGAAAATATTTTGAATTTAAATTTTTTTTAGCTTAAATCAAACTTCAAATTTTGATTTCAAGTTTTACTTGAACTTTTCAAGTTGAGTCAAACTCAATAATACTCAAACTCAACTCAATCTTCAATAATTTGGACATAATAAAGACTGCGCTATGTCCCCTCAATCTTGGGTGTAAATTATGTAATTTTAACCAGATTGCAATTGTTTCTAATACATCTTAAAAAGCTAATAATCATACAACAAAATATAAAATTGAATTTGAGATTAAAACTGAGAATCGATTGAGTAAAATTTAATTGACCAGAAGTAAATGGTAAATTAAGCCCCAAGGCTGAAGATTGCAGCAAAGGTTAGTTTGATGTAAAGCCTAGTTGATGGCATACAGTACATAGCTCCAATTTAATATGATTTTTTTATGTCACAAAAGCTAATTTTCAGATAAGGAAAAAATCTCATTAGAAATAAGCTATTTCACTCCCAATAAAACTAGAATTATATGAAGGACAAGAGAAGAAGCTACAATTAGTTTATTAGTCTAACTAATGAAGTGTGAAGGGGGGGTTTCTTATCGTAACTATTTTTCAGTATGAAAACAGGTTATTTGCAATCTCTACCAAATCACTATATCACAACAAAACAATGCCTCATCTCACAATGTTTAACATCAAAACACAAACTCAACCTGCCCTCCATTGATTTTACTCCATCGTTTTGGTCTTGCCTACTCGGAGTTAGTTTCAAGGTTCGATCACAAATAGAGGCTGCAAAAGGATAACAAACAAGAATGTCAGAGCAACAGGGGGAAGAAAAGAATTACATACATATGCATATATAATTGAAATCAATGCAGTCAATAATACCCACCATGTCAACGCTGACTGGTTTGCCATCTTCCGCAGGGATCTCAACTATGGTTCCCGATTGATCAGCCTAAAGAAATGATCATTTTTCAGTTAAATGACAAGAGCAACAGTTCGACAATTTCATAAGCTGCAGTTATGAAAGAATATTCTCTTGATTAAGGGTTGTATAACACATTACAGTCGGCTCCTACTGCTGCAACTATAGGCGGTAATCACCACAGAGAATCAAAATGCAAAGCTTTCTGGTTAGTTGTTGAGAGTGCTCCAATAGGAAAAACTGATCCGGACCATGTTTTTCCTATATTTGGCTACTTCATCCTCAACTAACCAACTAGTTTAAGCCAATAGCTAATGTTTTTCGCAATATATCATACACAGGAAAACACAAAAATGCATGCAATGAAATTGGAGCTATGTACTAAGATGGTTGATTTATCACTTTTATTGATAGTTGCACTATGATGGCATGTTTGTGTTCTAATAAATCAACAAATAATTTGTTTCTTGTTTTAGATCTTTTCACAAATGATTACCATGCAATTTGATGCTAAAGTGAAATTAAGTCAGTATAGAGTGGCTGAAAGGAAGAATAGACATAGGTTGGAAGTTACTCAATCTCTTACGTTCACTATGAATATCCCAAAACTTTACTGGGGATATGCAATTCTGGTATCCACATTTCTCATTAACAGAATGTCTCAATTCTCAAAACTCTATATTTCAATAGTCCCTTACAAGTTTTACAAGGAAGAAGAGATTATACAGTTCCTCCAAATGTGTTTGGATGTATTTGTTTTGTTCATACTTGAAATGAAGGAAAATTATATCCACAAGTCCGTAAATACATGTTTGTTGGGTATTTTCCTACACAAAAGGGTTACAACTATTATCATCCTCTGTCAAGAAGGTATTTTGTCAGTATGGACTATGAATGTTACTATCTGATAAGAAGAATCTTATTTAGGCACAACCCAATCACCTCTTTAAGGGAAGAAGACCAAAACACAGATTGATTTGTACGTCATCAAAGAAAAATTGACTATGGATGCCTTGAACTTAATCTATGCGACATCTGACAAACTATTCCCAAACCGATTTAACATGATTTTCACTTTTTCACATTTTTTGTCAAAATAAAAAGAAAATATGAACAAACTAATAATTTATTCAATTTAATAACATCAGTCAAAAGTAAAGTTTAATATAATGTCATAATTCTAGTCCCTTATATGCTAATTTTTACATATATTTTTATCAAAACTTACCTGATAATATATAAATATATAAAAGGGTATTTTTGTAATTATCTCAAGTCAAGGTGTGTTCTCCCTAAACCCGAACCTGAGCTGACCAATTCCAAGATTTCAACTGACTTGAAACCCAAATTTCAAAAAAAGAAAGAAAGAAAAACTTGACCCTATCAGATTGGAACGAGTCAAAACCTGTCGAACACGGGTTTCAAATTTTTATTAATGGACTAAGACATATCTGGTGCATAGTGAAGGATTTTTATCTTGTAAACTAAGATGTGTTTCTTTTCTGGTAAGGATTCATAACCAGGTTGATTGTAACTTTATTTTTATATGAAGGTTTTTAGTTGAGACAGTATTTGACTATTGGGAGATGGAAGCCTTCAATACATCTGAATAAAATGGCTATTAGCATAACAGCTGTGCATTACATTAGGATCAAGTCCTAACCCACAGACGCAAAAGTTATCGCTGCTAGTTAGCAGGAACTTTATTTTTTGTAAGATTGTAGAACAAAACCCCTGGCCTAATGTATTTTGCTAGGGATACTTGGTACCAGGTGATTCTAAACTCTAAAGTGGTCACTAGCCCCCACAAGCAAGCCTAAGTGGATTTGTTGGGCACTTGGTATCCCAACAGGTTGGACTGTCAAGCACATGATGAGTTTAGAGTGATTTTTCTTCTTCATAAGAATGAGTTTAGAGTGATTACTGGCCCTCATAAACCAAAAGATACCTTGAAACCTTCATTAGCACATTTGTTATCAAATTCCTGTCCCCATTCCATGGAATACTTGGCACTTAATCAAAGACACCTCAATTCTTCAAGAGCTTTAGAGTTTATCTCAAAATTTCTTTCGAAGTTCAGACCCAAAAAATCAGCTTTATTCTATGCCAGGATTATAGAATTTCAAAAATATTTATGGGAGAAAAAGACGAGTAATATTTGTATTACTAAAATCATTATATCTTTTCTACCAAGAAAGAATATGAACTTACCTCTATTTCATTCATCAACTTCATTGCCTCAATGATGCATAAGACTTGACCCTTCTGCACTTTGTCTCCAACCTACAGAGAAAGCCTTTCGCATAAGTCCAAAGAGCCGAAGAGAATCAACTGCAGGATAGACGTAATAGCAGCACCATTAAAATCCAATAAAAACCAACATGGAATATTCACCTTCACAAATGGTGGTTCACCAGGTGCTGGACTTCTATAGAATGTGCCGGCCATTGGACATTTAAGAGGTGGAAGTGATGATTTGACTGACCTAGGGGCAGTTGGCAACGGTGCTGGAGTTGAGGCAGTAGATGCTTGAGCAGAAGGTGAAGGTGCAGAGACAGATGGGATTGGAGGCATTACTGGTGGTTGAGAGGGTGACTGCATCATAACAACTGGAGCTGCAGATGGTGGTTGGGGTAAAGCCTCCTTTTTCCGGATTACCAGTTCACAGTCAAGTTGTTTAAGCTGCAACTCTACAATATCTCGTGAATCAACTAACCTAGAAAAGAACATATAATATTAACCATTAAATTGAGCAAACTTTGGGGAAATGAAAAACAGCCAAAAACCGACAGTAAAAAGCATACTTTACTAGACTTGAAACTTGATTAAGGAATTCTGAGACTGATTCTTCTGTGGCCAAAGTTGAAGGAGATACATCGCTTGATTGCTTAGCATTCTTTGCTTCTGCTTTTGGTGCCCCTGATTTGACTGTAGGTGTAGTAGAAGCATTTGACGATCCATCTAGGGCAACCTTGAAGGCACGGATGATCCCAAAAACATGTTTAGAAAGGAATCATAGCTTGGAAACCTATACTCTATCCAAAATCATTTATAGAATCTTACCTCATTAAGTTGGGCTTTCACCACTGTAGAAGAGTTCCGACGAGGTAGCGAGCTCTGCAATGTACAGACCGGCAAAATTTTCAGTTCACAGAGAAAAACTGAAGTTAAAGTAAACTTGACAGAAAAACATAAATTTTCAGTTGGCTTTTTTAAAAAGCAAAATATTTGAGGCCTGCACAAGTAGAAAGATGTCAAGTTCAAACTATTGAAGAGCCAGACACTTTCATCATTATATTGCATTTATGACATCCATAATTGCCCATCTAGCTCAGTTGGTAGAGCGCAAGGCTTTTAACCTTGTGGTCGTGGGATCGAGTCCCACTGAGGGCAATTCATAACGGAGGTCTTCCACGGAAGCTGCTCTCAACCTGACGTTGGGGGCAGCCTACTACCCACCTTCCCCTTACCCCATTACATATGGGAATAGGGACAGCTAATATATAATACATGAAGACAAAAAAAACAATTGTTTATTTCCAAATAACTCCATTAATTTAGAGTGCGAAGGAGAGAGAAAAACTATATTTTGAGATCAAATGGATACCTCAGCGGCATCTTATTTTGCAAGCAATGAAGAATCGAGCAACCATACATATAATTTCATCTAGTAAAAAGTACCAAGTACACCGAACAAATAACCATCTCCATGTCCATTTGGCTTCACTCCAAATGACAACATTATAGCTTTTATTCCATCTTATTTTTCACTGCTATTAAACTCTTAAATCAATGTACCCTCTGAACTTTAAGTTCGAAAATTATTTTTCATGTATCTCTTGCTCACAGTCTATTAGAAAAACCTATAAAAGGTAAACAATTTATACTTACTTAAATCATTTTGACCTCATCAGTCTAGTGCATTATATTTTGAGAGTTAATTATCAAGCGCAAGACAAATTTAAAACATGTGTGCATTTTGTAACATAAAAAATTCAAGTAAATATACACATGGGAGTGTCATTCAAAATAGAAGGACCAACTTAAGTTACTCTGCTAAGTTAATGGAACTATGTTGATAATATAAATGTGACATGTAAATTCAATAATGGACTCCAACTTTTTCTTGATACCGAAAGTTAAGTACTTTCTTGAAGAGAAATCATTCATGCAATACATTTTCTACTATAGATCTCAAAACAAACAACAATTAGTGTACTCTTTGATATGTGTGATAAGATAAATCGAAGCAAGACTTATCTGGTACAAAAGAAGAGAGTACAGATTTTATGAAGAACCGAAGCAAAACAATATTCTTTTTTATCCAATAATAACCAAAACAAAAAAATACGAAGCCATTATGCGAAAAAAAACAGCATTTAACAAATTAACACGGTTCTAAAAGCCAGAAAAATTAAATGCAAAGATAAACAATCATCTTCTCCTCTCTTTGCAACTAATTTTACCAGAAAAAGACATGGATTCATGCTTAAAACTGACCAAACAATGCAGATCGTCAATTTACACTGCTTCTCCCAAACATAAACATAGCTACAGAAAAATCTAATGAAAGATTCACATACTTTAAGCAGCTAAAATGTACACTAAAGAGAGAAAATTCAGAACGATGTAGTTACCTTAGGGAACAATTGAAAGTTCGGGTCGAAAGAGAGGCGAAAGGAGAGGTTGGAGCGCTGAAGGTTAGAGGAATGAGGCAAAGTAGTGGTGGTTTTAGCAATGGAGGCTGTTGTTGATAGTGCAGAGGCCATATATTATTCAAGCAACAGAAAAGATAACAAATGTGATTGATTGGGTTTGTAGGAAAGAAATATATTGAAAGAAAACGAGAAAGAGGGTTTAATAGTGATGGAGATTAAATGGAAGGAAAGGGTTTCGGGGAATCCGTCGAGAAGAAAAGTGGACGAGTCGAGTGTTTATGGGTCGATGAAATCCAAGGAACAGAGTGGGGTGGAAAAGTGCCGGATTGGATAAACTATTTAACTTGTCACTTCAGTTTCATTTTTGTTCACTTTTTATTATTATTTCTAAAAAGTAATATTTTGATCATTTGCGTTATTAATTTATAATAATTTCATTATTAAGACATTAAATATCGTTAATTTAATAACATGATAGGATAAGTTTTAGTTTGATTCCTAAATTTTAAATAAAATCTTAATCTCATCCTTAAATTTTAAATAAAATAATACCAAAAAATATCATAATGTTTAATTAATTAGTAATTTAATTTATCATAGTAATCACTTTGATGAAATATTCTTTGTCATTATCATAAGAGAACCAACCAAATGAATTTGATTTGTCAAAGTACCTACTAATCTGTAACTCGAGACAAGTGAAATTTTGGTCCTGAGATGTCATTGGGGTAGTTAAAGAAAAAAGACGATCGATTTAAAAATTGACTTAGAAATTAAATAACTATTATATTTTATAACAATTTATCAAACTAATAGGTTGATCTGTTGGTTATAAATTGACGTCTCATCCACTGAATCAGGGTTTAAATCCCATCCCCCTCAATTCTCTTATTTCCTTTTTCTTTGATTATTAAATCATTCCGATAATAACACATGTCATCGTATAATCAATTATGATATATTTAATATATAAATTTTACTCATAATTAAAAAAATATTTTTATTGATGTGACGTAATATTATATCATCAATTTTATATATAAACATGTCATATTAATATTTTAGTTTAATATATGTTTACTTATCAAAAAAAAAATGAATGTTAGTTAACTAAAGTATGTCGTACAAATATAGATGGCTAAAATATTTCGAAAAATGAATAGGGGTAGATGTGACTTTTCACTCAAATATTATAATTTTTTTTTTGCATTATACCTTTTCACTTGGATTTTTAAGTGTTCAATAAAATTTTAATCTGACCTTTAAATTTTAGATAAAATAATATCAAAAGTCATAATGGTTGACTAAATAATTACTTTGGCTCATTTCTTTTAGAACAATGTAACCATCAACGTTTCATTTTAAGTTAAAATTACCCTTGTTTGGATGGTATATGTTAGTTGAGTGATCAACGTTTTTTAGCTTACTAAGTATATATATGTGTATAAATGAATCGAGTTTAAACGAATAAGGTTGTGTTCGTGTTTGTTTGTTTATTTTAAAGGTGTTCATGTTCGTTTAAATTTTTAATATTGTGTTTGTGCTTGATTATTTGTTTTTGAATGAGTTCATGTTCGTTTGTTTAGCGTTCACGAACATATACGTTTAACATTTGTTTATTTGTTCGTTTATACGTTCGTCAATATGTTATTTTGTAAGTTAAAAATGATAAAATTATGCCATTGATGTTTAAACTCTTTAAGTTTCATAGTTTGAACTCTAATTTTCACCATTTGTTCAATTTAGTCACTACATTCATCAATATTTAAAACGTAAAAAATTAAAAAGTAAACAAGCTTGTTCATGTATATAAGTGAACGAGTCAATAAACAAGTTTGTTTGTGAACATAGATGAATCGAACACACCTTTATTCGTGTTCGTTCGTTTATTAAATGAACAAATTGTTTTTGTTCATACTCGTTTATTTGGTTTAACAAACGAGTATAAAATAAACGTTATACAAGCGGTTCACAACAATTTACCAAACGCTCTGTTCATTTACATTATTATAAATACAATTGGACCACAATGTTAATATAACATATTTACTTATAAAAGTGATGACGTGATATTTTACTATGCAACAAAAAATACTTTTTAAAAAATATAAATAAGTTTTATATATTAAATTAATTATAACCAATGAAATGACATAGGTGAATTAAAATCTAAAATTATCATTTGGATTGGTGATGATTATTATTATTGGTTTAATATAAAATAAGTGTAAAACTATATTGTTTTTCTCATTTAGTTTATAAATTATTTTTCGGTCAATTCAAGTATCTAATGTTACAAATATGATTATTTTAAGTGTCTCATTCATAATGGTATTAAAAAAATTTTGTTAAGTGACACGTGTTACCTTATGATAATTTAATTTTTTCTTTTTTAAAATTATTATATTTTAAAAAGTCCTAAAATTTTCTCAAACATAAAAAAAACCAAAAATTTTAAAAACTCTAATTTCAATCCCCAAATTCACGTTGGTAGTTTTCGTTTATCGCCATCATCGTCGATCGAACCTCCACCCGAATTCATATTAAAAAACCTAATATTTTTTAATTTTTAGAAAATATTCCAAAATTCATAAAAGCCCAATATTTTTTGAAAATAATTTTTTTCGTAAGTGACACATATCACTTAATGAAAATATTTTAAAGTCATTACTGTTGTGACGTTTAAAATGATGATATTTGTAACTTTAGACACATGAATTGATCCAAAAATAATTTAGATACCCAAATAAAAAAATGATATAATTTAAATACTTATTTTTATATTAACCCTTTTTTTAAGAAGACGGATCCGATCCGATCTCACGCAACCTGAAACCAAACGATTGTTGCTCTTTCTTATTTTTCTCAACTACTGGAGGCAGAGTGCTGAGCAGACAAAGCAGAGGGCAACCATGAAATCGGTCAAAATCATTGTACCATTCCTCCTCACATTCTCACTCTTGTCCTTCTCTTCCTGCGGCTTCCAATCCGATGAGCTCCTCGTTGACGACGAAGAGTTCGGTCTCGAGGGCTCTCCCCGGCATCGCTCCCCTGAAACCGTCCTCACTCGATCTCCACCCGTAACCCGAAAGAGGCATTCGGATCTAGACTCTGATTCTAAGATCCAGTTCTCTCTGGACCACGCTTTCGGCGATTCCGATTTCTCTCCCGCCGGCACTTTCTCCGCCCGCCTCAAAACTTGGAGCCATGGCGGCCAGGTTTTTCAACCCTTTATTTTTATAGCAATTTTCTCTCTTTGTTCACTGTTTTTAATCTTCTTATGCATATTAGACTTGGCCTTCGTTTTTTTTTCTTCTGAAAGTTAAATCATAACGGAGTAAATATGGACAAATGACCATGATAGGAATTCAACCATAAAGCATCTTTAATTAAAGTAAAATGATTCATAATGTTCCTGAAATAATATTACATTGTTAAATCTTTAGTTAGTCAATAATACTTTTTAATTTTACGGCCAAGATCAGTTCTTCACATTTTGCTTTAGGGAATTAGAAGACAACAAGCAAAAATATGGCCATTTTGTTAACGGAATAGGAAAATAGAGTCAACTTGTGAGATGAACGCTGCCCTGCTATGCTACCTTTGGCATTTTATGTCGACCTAATTTTATCACTTTACTCAATTTCCTTGAATTTGACGTTGTAATTTAATCTTGAATCAAATTTGGACAAAACTTAGCAGAATGATGCATGTTGAACATATCTCAAGTGTTATTTTCTTTATGAATTGGCAATATAAATGAAAAAATTTAAGAGAACATGTGTCAACAATTGTCATGTTTGTTTTTGTTCAATGTGAAATTTCATGTCATATTTAAGATGTGAAATTTTTGCGTCCCCATAACATATTTTAATACGGACACAGCATATTCCACGGGTAATTCCTTCATTATTTTTTCCCCAAAATTCAACCAAATAAAAGCATGATGGTAAAGTTAATGTAATTGATGCAGTTGGGAAATATCAACTTTTAGCCTTAGAAATTTGGCACATTTGGTATGTATCCTTGTTAAAAAGGCCCCTGAGATCATTGAAAATAAGTAGCTAAGTGATTCAACTAGTACTTCGTTTTGTACTAAATCTTAAAGGATATCGGATTGTTGTTGTAAATATGATGAGGATTAGAGAGGAGCATAATGAAGCTTAAGGTCTTTACTTTTGATTTCTTTTTAGCAGCTTGGCTATGTAAAACCTGCTACTCTGAAGGCCATCAAATTTGAGAAAATCCATTATGTAAATCATGAGATTAGTATTGCTAATAAGAGGCTTAGGTAAGTGGTGTCATCTTCTGTTGGCAATACCAAACAAATTTATAATCTGTTGTGGAGAATAATAAAATAATTCGTTCATTGCTCCTTTGTCCCTCCATTTTCAGTAACCAGTGAAGCAAATGATAGTTAACTGAAAGTTTGAACTGACTTGAGTACCTACCTATAACCTTGAAGTGACTCATTTCTCTATTTTCGTTTGGAAGAGCTCTAGTAGATTTTAATTTGACTAGTTTTATTGGCAGAGTCTTACAAAGCTACGATTTTCAAGGAACAGTTTCACTGATGAGGATAAGGAGAAGTTCAAAGTAATCATACATTATCTAACTTTTAATTTACTTGCTCTGTTTTTGAGTGAGTGACCATTTTATGATGCTTTGGGTTTTAATCATCTATTCTTACAGAACCTGCTCAAAAGTGATGACTTCTATAGGATAAGACTCCCGTCTAATGTTTTGAGTCCACCTGGGAGGGATTTTGTTATTTCATCAGTGAAAGCAGTAAGTTATACTCTTTGATTTAGCTTGATTATTGGGATATCTAATATTATTGTTTAATGTGTTTCGTATCGGGATTATTGGTGCTTTGTGTGTGGCTGGGTGGGGGGGGTAAAATCATCTCGAAGAAACTTCCAAGGCTTAACTCTGCATAGATATGCAGTTCTTTGTTTATACAGGCAGGGTTTGACTCCTTCTCTTAAGCTGAAATCTCTAATAGTAGGCTGTGAATTAAGCTTTTGATCAATAGATGTTGAATCTGACCACCTTTTTTTCAAATGCTTGTCGTCAGAACTCACATAGAATAGTTATAATACGTGTTTCTTTTTTCTCCATTTTTCTTTCCATTGTCTTCTTTAAAGCTATTTTTGTTACACCTTATTTGCCTGAAAAGTACTCGACAATTTGTGAAGTATGCTGAT